CATTCCACATTTTGCGTGTTCTGTTAATTCGATAACCCACTTGATTAAAAGAATTAACGAGGTTCTACAAAATATTCTTCGTAGCATACCCCTCACCATTCGAAATTCAGGGGCTGGGACCCTGGCTACTGGCCTGGTCGACACAATATTTGTGGAGAACATTAGAAAACGTTACCTTCTTTTGTTTTGTAGTTTATAATGTACAACATTCTACATTGATTTTTTTGCATTGAAAGTTATGCACCATTATGCCTCATGAGTGATGTGCTGTGGCAGTTCTTGTTTATCAATAACTCTTAAGTTCCATGACGAGTTTTAGTGGCCTGGTGGCTTTTCATTCATGAATTTTGTTGAGAAAACAGAAGTATAGGGGTCATACAGTGAGGAGGGTGGCGCAGAGCATTGACAGCAGGGCCATTCAATCTGCCACTGGAATGTGACTCGCTTACGGAGTGCAGGTGATGCAAGTGATGAGCGAGTAGAAATGCACCATGTGATCAAAATATTCGAAGTCTCAGCATTGTCTGCGTGACAGCTGCAAAACATGCGTGAAATCTGTCGGTCACGTGTGTACAGTTTTGTACCGTGTTAGTGTAACAACGCACATAGGCATGTGCAGAGTTTCTTTTCTTTGTGGGGGTGGAGGTTCCTTGCAGTGCCCCCCCCCCTTCCCCATTAAGTAAATGTTTATTTATTTATTTATTTATTTGAATACTTTCCATGCCCGAAGGCTTTACAGAAAGGAGTGGGGGTTATACAACAAAAAGTAAGCGAAATGTTACAATTGCGCAAAATGGAGAGTTTGAAGTTTGCAGGGTCGATGAGGGATGCGGTGGCGGCGGAAAGGCAGTTCCAGTCTTTGCTTGTTCTGGGAATGAAGGAATCACTGTAGTGGTTTGTTCGGCAAAATGGCACATCTACTTTAAAGCAATGATCGAAACGAGGTGAAATGTAAGAGGGGGAAGAGAGAAGGCTCTCTTTTAAAGATGGATTGTAATGATAAATTTTATGAAAAAGAGAGAGGCGAGAGCATTTTCGACGGAACGATAAGTTGGTTAGGTTCAGAGTTTTTTTCATGGCTGTGATGCTGGCATGACGGGAATAATTGCACAAAATGAAACGGGCTGCGCGGTTTTGAACGGCTTCTAGAGTGAGAGCTAGGGTTACTTGACCGGGATCCCAGATGGCGCATGCGTATTCTAGTTTAGAGCGTACCAACGTTTTGTAAAGGTTTAGTTTTACTGACATGGGTACGGAAGAAAAGTTTCGTCGCAAATCTCGGAGCATGCGGTTAGCATTATTAGTGACGTATTCGACGTGTTTCTGCCAGGATAGATTGTTAGTAATGTTAAGCCCAAGATATTTATACGAGTGCACTGAGGATAAGGGAGCATCATTAAGAAGATACATGCAAGTGTTAGAACCTGAATTTTTTCGAGATACACGCATGCTTTTACATTTGGTTGAATTAAGTTTCATCCGCCAGTCACGACACCAAAGAGACACGTTATCTAGGTCGTTCTGAAGTCTGATAGAATCAGTTGGGTTAGTGATTTTGGAATACAGCACACAATCATCAGCAAATAATTTAATGGTTGAAAACTTAACACAGTTAGGAAGGTCGTTTATATAAATCAAAAATAACAATGGACCTAACACAGAGCCCTGCGGCACCCCTGATGTTACGGCAGAAATATCGGAAGAACAGTTGTTAGCAATGACATATTGCGACCTGTTAGAGAGAAAGGACTTAATCCAGCCAAGCACATTAGGGTCAAGGTTCAATTTATTTATTTAACAAGGAGAAGTTTATGAGAAACAGTATCAAATGCCTTATGAAAATCAAGAAAAATGCAATGAGTGTCGTAACCTTCGTCAGAATTGGCAAAGAGATCGTTAGTGAAAGATACTAGTTGGGTTTCGCATGAAAACGTTCTCCTGAAGCCATGTTGGGAAGAATGAAAACAGGAATTTGTTTCAAGGAAGTCCATTAAATTAGAGAAAATAATATGTTCGAGTAGCTTACAGGAAATGCTTGTGAGAGATATTGGTCGATAGTTTTCTGGAAGACGCGAGTTACCTGACTTATAGACGGGAACCACCTTTCCGGAATTCCAATCAGCGGGTAGCGATGAACACTGTTATGACTGATGAAAAAGTTTTGCAAGGACAATGGATGAATACACTTCTGTTAATTTCAACATTTTAGAGCAAATTTTATCGGGGCCTGCAGAAGAAGACATTTTTAAACCCTGAATTAGCCTAGTTAAGCCCACCCAGCCAACAAAAATAGGTTCCATGGGCGGAAAATCGGCATGGGGTACATGGGGATATAATGAAAGGGCTGTTTGAAACACTGAAGAAAAAGCATTATTTAGAACCGTGCAGCATTGGTCAGGTGGTACAACCAGGTCAGAACATGTTAATTGAATATTAGATCGAGATTCACCTCTCATTATGCTCCAAAATTTGCGGGGATTAGTCTGAAGAAGAGCAGGCAGTGTGGAATTTAAAAATGTTGTTTTTGTGTTGCTAACAGCGTCGTTATATTCCTTGTTTATGCTATAGTACTCAGACCAACGGCTGGGGAGGTTAGAACGTTTAGTGCTTCGGAACAGACGCTTCTTTTTGTTGCGGAGTCGGCGTAAAGTGGAACTAAACCAATGAGAGCGGGGTTTAGTGCAAATTCTTCTGGTGGGTACATGTTCGTTGAGCAAAGATAATAATTTGTTTTTGAAAAGCAACCAGTTATCATTGACAGATCGCTCTTCATAGTTAGTTATGTATTCCTCGGTAAAACGTTCCATTTCTGCTGTAATTAGTGCCGTGTTGACACGCAAATAATCCCTAATAATTTTGAAAACCTTAGATCTCGAGGGGCGGTGAGCTTGCGCGGTGAAATGTAGTAACATGTGATCACTTAGTCCATCGAGATAAGTTATCGAAGAAACGAGATCAGGTGAAGTTGTAAGTACGAGGTCTAGAGTGTTAGAACGGGTTGATGTTGACCGCGTGGGCTCAAGAACAAGCTGAGTGAGGTTAAAGTCCGTACAAAAATTCAAAAATTCTATATTTTCTGGTAAGTTTTGTTTTATGCTAACGGAGTCTGCACGCCATACAATACCGGGAAAATTGAAATCACCCATAAGGATCAAGGGAGAATCGGGATAGCGTACAATCAGCAGATTCAGAACATCATGAAGTTCAGAACAAAAGAAAGGGGAAGGAGCTGGGGATCGATAACATGCACACAAAATATAGTCACGACAGGAAAAAATGATTCGCACACATACTATTTCTAAGGATGACCTGATCGGAACCACAGAGGAATTAAACGCTTCATTGACAGCAACGAGTACGCCCCCACCGATACGGACGTCACGGTCATAACGATATGTTCTGTACGCCTTATCGCAGTCAAATATTTCACTACTTTTTCACCACTTTATGTTCTGGGCAGACTTTGCACCTCCCTTCTCTTAGGTGACTATGGGGCCTGGTTGCCCCCTTCCCCGACCCCTTTTGCACACGCCTATGACAATGCACTCACTAAACATAGCTCTACACACTTCGCAGCGGTCATCATCGCTATTCGTACAAATGGATCCAATGCGGCCAACATGAGTCGTGTCAAACTACACATGGTTGGTACTGTTGCCTCCATGCTCGCTGGCTGAAGAGAAATTGAGACGAATAAGTAGAATTTGATGTTTAAAAGTTATGCAATTTTTTCCGTTATCGGCCTACTCTGCTTTTTGGGCGAAGGCACTTCAATCGTGTTTCGATGCAGCGAAAGTTCACTCGTTCTACCAGTGGATGACAGCGCTCCTACTCCCTCCTAAGGAGGATTAAAAAAATTGCTGGAGTGGAAATCATTGCCTAGGAATGAAGCCCTGCCTCTGGCAAGATGGCGGCTGCGGGGGCCATCTTACTAGCGGCATGATAAAGTATCACCGTTCAGCAATTAAGAACGTAGTGTTTCCTTTGCAGGCCCAATGAGTGTAATGTGGAAACTTTTTCGGGTAGTATAGTGCTCCAAGTGTGCCTTCGTGTTACTAGTTTTCCTTAGTAAGTTTTCCTTTGCCTCCGATTGGAGGCATAGTACTTGGGAAATTCAGTCACCTATACTCGTTTCTGTGTGTTATCTCATCGGGAACAACTGTCTCTTAATATAAAACTAATGTACAATTTGCACTAACATATCAAACCACTTGATCTCTAAGTGGGCACTGTAAGAAAAGAGCATGTTTCCACCATCTTGGCAGTTGCAAAAGATGGCTCCACTTCTGCTGTTAAGGCGTTAAGGGAGCTTCCACTCTGAAGAGGGGTTCTCAGTGCTCCTGTTCTCCCATTGGAATCCACCATAAGACTTTTTACACTGTAAAAAGCTTTTGTGGTAGCTTTTCCATTTTGCACGACAAATGGAGAGACCAAGCTTATCAGCTGTCGATGCTACTCGAGTATCTCATTTTTCAACCTGTTCGTGCGAAATGTCAACTGGGATACCTTTCTTTTTTTTGTCTTTAACAGCCCAGGAGTTTAATTATTGACTATCAAGTCAAATTCAGATGAGTTTGGTTATTTGCATAGATAACAATGCAGTATACCTGAGAACTAATGCACCATATTGTCTGCTTTATGCATTTTGAGAGATATGGTTTACAAATGATATTTGTTTCTGGCATACCGAGTTTGTGGACTAGTAAATTCATGCTTTATTTATTACCATTTTTGTCTTACCTTTTTGTAATTCCTTGAAAAAAGGTTTCGTGGCATTAGTAAAAAAAAATGCTGTCAGCAGTTTGTATGACTGATCATGCCCTTTTTAGATGCCAGAAATCTCATTAAATATCATTCATGATAATTTAAATCATTTTTTATTTCATTGTACCAATTCTATGAGATAATCTTGAGTATGGGTAGCTTATTTTTTACTCAACTTTTTTTACTGGTGTCTTTCTTACGTGAAGTTTTTTCTTTTTATTTTATTCCAACTACAGCAACAGAGTTTTATGGAGGCCTTGACCGCTGAAAAGGGCATCACTCATTTTGTGCTCTCCTACTGTGATAAGCACGAAATGGGCTCGGCACAAAACTTTGGGGCATTGGTGAGCTTTCTATGGTGTCTTTCTTTTTGCCCACTTTTCACCACTCCCTTCAAAAAATCGATGCACATTCATTTTCTGGAGCTGCAATATTTAGATTATCTGTGTCACATGCTGGTTGTCAACACCACTGCTTAGTATAAGGATTGCTATTGTATGGGTTTGTCTTTTGTGTTACGAAAATAAGTACATAACTCAAATGGTTGCTACTCATGTGATCTGTCCTGTCTGACTAATGTTACGGATCAATGAGCTGTTTTGTTACACATCATTTGTTACATACATTGCCACAGCTACAAGTGGCACTCGCTAATACACCTGGGATAATGTGGGCACAAATACAACAAAGTGGATGGGCAAGCAGTCAGCTCTGTAGTTTGATTGGTAAAGCATTGGATGTGAAACTCGTTAAGTTTTAGGTTTGGCCCTCGCCATCAGCAAGTTGTTTGCTGTATGCTTAAATCCATTTTCATTTATGCAATAATTACTATACTGAACTTATGACCCACAAATATGCCTCCTGTGTCTTTCTTGAATTCATTCAGTTGCTTTGAACAAAAAAATAAGCCCTTGATTCATTCGCTTTTTTATATTCATTTTGTTGTATTGTGTTCTATTGCTGATACTTAGCCTTTTCTGCAGTAATCTCTTATCAAGTTGGTAGTAGGGGTGTGCTGATATTTGAAGTTTCAAACAATTTTCCAACGGTGTTTGCTGTTCGATTTGATTCACATTAGAATTTTACTATTTAATCTATTTGAACTTTCCTAAAAGAAATGCAGTCAACATCCTATTGGCCTAAAGTGCTTATTTGGGCTGGTTGGTACATGATCAGCAAAGTGAAAAAACAACGCGTAACACAGGACAGTGACAGATCAGCGTTTCGTCCATCTCTGTCACTGTCCTGTGTTGCGCGCTGTTTTTTCGCTTCGTTGATACTATTAGCAGTGGCCCCTTTAGATTTTCAATATGCTTCACCCCATCACACTCTCACAATCCAGCAAATCTGCCTTTTAGGTGCTGCTACAGTAGCATATATGTTGAAGCGAAAAAACGCTGGTTCCAACATAAAGATGTTAGATGTGGCAGAGGTGCGGGCTCGATTAATGCTGTTCACACCTGAAGTTTGGAAGAAAATCGGAAAAATCAAACGCTGGGAATTTTCAGCATCTAAAATAGCTGGTGTTCTTATGCATTGACGTCTACAAGGCAGATTTGGGACTCCAGACTCGAAGGGAGCACACCCTTGTCTGCCAAAATCAGTTAGGCTTCCACAGAAGTTGAAAGTGGAAGAGAGGCTGGGGAATCAGCATCTTTGCCTTCATGTGTAAAGTGTTTAATGGTGCTGAAGTTCTGCTTTTCCCACACCTCTAGTTTATAAAATGCTTGATATGGATAAATTAAGGAATCAGTCAGTCGATCAACTTGCACTTCAATCCGTGCTAGTGAATGGTATTTATATATTTGTTGGAAATCAGCAGCAGTCACCACTGTGTGATGCTTTGGGCGTTACGAGTGTTCCAACCTGGTGATAAGGAATGGAAAATATACATGGATCTAGTTCCATCTCTTAGGCAGTATGATAAAAAACATCGTGGCTATATTTTGTGTGCATTTGAACCTCTTTATAGAGGCACCGATGTAACAGACAAATGGGTATGAGAGATGCAGTTTGTCCACATCGAAATAGGGGTTGATAAGGAAATGCATAGTACTTGCACCCTGCTTATGAGAGAGACCTTATATGAAAGACGAGTTTTTGCCCAGTGCATGTCTTTTATAAAGGAGTTTAATTGTATCAGTTTTCATGATTAGCCTCGACATTGTGTGTATAACTCTGAATTACTTAGCCTCGATGTTGTAAATAAAGGGAGCAGAAAGTAGTAATACAGTGACGTGCAGACCTGGCATTTCAAGGGCATACCTCATATTGATACATGGTACAAACATTTGATTTATCATGCACGAAGTAAAAACAAATCGTAAAGCAGTGTGTAATGCGTAAGAGTTGTATCTATTGCCGTCACTGGAGGAATTGAATCGGATAGGGTAGGTGAGCGGCGTCTGGGGGGCTCAGACCAGTTCTAGTCAATTTTAATGTTTTATTTCTCTCACGCACATATCAGGTTAATTCACCCGTGGGTGCACTTGACGTTCTTTTTTTTTTTCTTGACATTCATTTATTTTGTGCGTCCCCTCCTTCTTGCAGAGCTTCAATGCAAAGATTCCGAACGGAACACTTTTTACTCCTGTCTATATGCCCACCTACTTTTCTGTTTACGTGTCCAACATCAGAGTCGGGGAAAGCGAGTGGCCGGGCCTCTGCAGCGAGGTAAGTTGCTTACGTCTCTCGTGCATATAAATTAAGCAAGCAGAAACTCGGCAATAGAGGAACACTGTGCTAGTCACTGTGGGTTGACCACACTCCACTGTAGTGCAAAAGGACCGAAGCGCAAGTACCAGAGTGGCACGCGGGCAATGGTGGTGGTGAAGACATGTTATTTTCAATCTACAGTGACAGCCTGTTGATGAGCAGGTTTGATGTGGTGTAACGTGGCGGAAAGCTTGTGGCTTTCGGCTATCTTCAATGAGTGCAGCCCGCTGCATGCAGTTGCGCAGCTCAGTCTGAGCTGTACACTGCATTCTCCCATCATTCTACATTAGAGAGTTGCCACACAGGATGTGGCGCAAGTCTGCTCGCTTCTCTGTAGTAGAGTGTGCATTTGGGGGAAAAAAATCTGGGGTTGGCAAGAGTCTGTGAACTGGGGATAAAAAGGCTGTGAGACAGGCACTCACTGCACTATTGCTACCGTCTGGCCCAACATAGGGTTTGTCATCTCGTTCAATGGACAAGTTACCAATGCTTCACAAATTCTGTGATCTAAGCAACCTATAATTTAGAACCGGGACATGAGTTGGCACTGCAGTTTATATAGGCTCAGCCTAAGGAAATATCTGTTGAAGATAATTGGTTTCTTCGCAAGCTCTCTCACTTTCTAGTTACCTGTGATTACAGATGTGTCCACCTGCCGTACATTTTCTTTGAGGAACTTCGGTCGTATTATGTTCGAGTTCACAGCTTTGTCCACTTTTTTTTTTTAATTGAACATGCTGCAGGCTCAATTGGCCCTTGCAGGAGTTGTTACAAAAATAAACATTCGAAAGAAAAAAAATGACAATCATAAACAGAAATGTATAACTTGCACTTCAGTAACAGAACATTCTACTGTAGTGTAATTCATGACACTAGCATGTAAATTGTTAATTGTTCCACTGAGAAATTGCTGAGAAGAAGAGAGAATATTGGTGTGCATTAACGGGGCTTCAAGGTTACTTGATTCTATTAATGTGGTATGTTCTCGATAAGTGTAGGAAAGGATGACGTAAATAACTTGAGTTTGGAATTTTGAAATAATTGTGGCACAAACGATAAATGAATTTAGGCTTGGAAACTATTCTTCGATGTGAAAGTTGTTCAAGGTCAGAGACATTGCATTGTCTAGAGTACGCACGCTATATGAATCTGGCAGCTATTTTTTGTATGCGTTCAATTTTCTCAGTTATGTGTTTTTGGTAAGGGCTCCAGATTAAATCAGCATACTCTAAAGAGGGTCTGAGTATTTTCGTAGGCATTTAATTTCACATGTGATGAGGTGTTAGTGGGTTCCTTCATAAGAAAGACAGTTTGCATTTGGCGGCCTGGCAGATGGAGGAGATGTGAAGTTTTCAATTGGAGATTAGACGTGAGTATAAGACCCAAGTATTTTACCTCATGGCATTTTTCGAGAGTGGTGTTACCATCAGTATAATGAAAATTGATTGGATCATTTTTATTGGTGAATGTAATAAACTTGGTTTTTGACTCGCTCTGCCTCATGCCCCATGTATTGCACTAAAAACAGATATATTGCAGTGGATTATGTAGCCAGATTTGACCCCTTGGATGACGTACTATTGTATATACTGCAGAGTCGTCAGCAACAAGCCGCATTTGGGCCATGCTGTCAATACTGAACTGAATATCATTAATATACATAAGAAATAGAATAGGAGCAGCATGTTGAATTAGCAGCAGCATGTTGATTTCATAAAAGTGCTTATTTATTGATTTATCACAAATTTTGGATTGCAGAGTTGCTTACTGGCCCTTTAGGTTTATCACAGGGGTGAAGTAGTTACAACACCTGGCTACTGGCTCTAATGTCGCGTGTTTCATCCCGGCTGCACCAGTCACAATTCGATCCCATATGTTCTGCAGTGTCGGTGCATCTTAATTAATACCAGACGGTTAAATTTTCTGGTGCCCAGCGCTATAATGTGCCTTGTAATGATATCACATGTGGTTTTTGCATGAATATAAAATGTGGAAAATACCCCACAAAACAGATCTCAAGCATGGCTTTCCAGCAGTAAAGTGACTACCCGCAACTTTTGACTGAACCAGTGAGTGCATAGTACTGTCCTGTCTGTCAGAAATGCTTTTGGTGGGTGCCACCATGAAAATGCCAATACAGCAAGATTCAATGTTTTCATGATGCAAAAAAGTTACTGCATTGCCGCCCACCGCATCAGTGCTTATAAGCGCTGATGCAGTGGAGGGCAATGTGGTGAGTTTTTCACATGATTAAAATACTAAATATTGTCACAGAGACTTTCTTCTCAGTGTGAGAGGTATCTCTGGGTATTAGTTTGCATTGCGTATCCTCAAGTGAAAAACAAGGGCTTGAAAAGTGTTAGGGGGCCTTTTCATGCTTGCGCTCACCACCATCCCCCAAAACTGAACAAACACACCTCAGACCTGGGGTCTGTGTATTTTCTCATCAATGAGCTCTTTCTCTCGAGATGCAGTGAAGCGTTGGTGTAATGTGTTGGTGTACTTTCAGCTGAATGACGATCCTGCAATAGTTGACACCGGTGCCACCAACCTCTTGTTGCCAGAAGATGTCTTCCGCTGGGTGTTTGACATGCTTAACGAACAGGTTGGTACACTGACCTTTAGTTTACTAGATTGGCCAAGCAGCTCCTGATTTGAATTTCTAAGGAGCTGCTAAGTTCACACAGAAAAGCTAAGGCTCAATAAAAAAAAAATTGCAGATGCAAGCTTCCCTTATATAGACACTAAAATGAAATATCGAGTCGACTTAGATTGTTAAATTTACTCTGAGAACTCTAGTGTCCTTAATTTCCTCATAACAGCATTATTAATAGAAAGAAAGGCCATGATATTTATAATTAACAAGTTTTCCCTCTTTAGATTTCATGTAAGTAAGTCACATTGCCTTATTACAAGCATGGAGGCAAACAAGCTAGACTTGAATTCTTCGTGAGCTTCGAAACAAAAAACTGGCTGCAAGTCCATCCTTGTATTTGACACCTCTAGCCTGCAGGCCCTTCTGGCACCACCATGCCATCACCTTAACTCCACATTCAGCTCGCACTGACCTATTTAAGTATCCATGTTTTCCAAGAACCACTAGTGAATGGAATTGTGTTACCGATACATGTGATCAGGCTGCGAAACAACATTATTCATCTTTATTGCTGTTTTGTCATTGCTGCTTCTTTCATATTTGTAATAACCCCGTGCATGAACTATGAGTCTACAGTGTTTAATAAATAAAATAGACGAGAAAATCGAGGTCACCCTGTCGTGGTAGTCTAGTGGCTAAGGCACTCGACTGCCAACCCGCAAGTAACGGTATAAAATCCCAACTGCTGCGGCTGCATTTTCGATAAAGGCAAATATGTTGTAGGCTCGTGTGCTCAGACTTGGGTGCACGTTAAAGAACCTCAGGTGGTTAAAATTTTCAGAGCCCTTCACTACGGCGTCTCTTATAATCATATGGTAGTTTGCGGATGTTAAACACCAGATAATATTATTATTATTATTGAGAAAATCGAGGACAAAGTTTCATTGTGAAGTTTCACACCGAAATCTCCTCGTGTGATATCACGGGTTTCAAGATGTATTTTTCGCGTGTTAATGACATTGGTTCAAGGGAATGTGCAGAGACATTATATGTTAAGCCTGTGGCCACCTTGGAGGACAATGTACTTCATTTCCACCGATAAGGAAGTACGTAGGATCTAGTAGACTTTGTCGAAATTCATGACATCATGGCATTTTTGTTGTGGGAATTCCTAGCGTGCCTCGATGCGCGCACCCCCGCTTAGGGTGGAGTTCCTCTTTAAAGGGGTCGTGGCCACCAAAACTGGTTTCCTGAGAGAGCCGACGCCATTTTCTTGCTTTTTGATCGCACCGACTTTCCTGGTAGACACGGAAAACAGATTTCGTAACGCTGTCTCAGTGAAAAATGCGAGGGTGCTGCATTCCGTAATGCACTATCAAAGCTAAACTGGCTTGAAAATGTTTTGTTTTTTAAAGGACTAAGAACGCAGCTCCTCTGGACTGTAAAAAATAAAGCGGGACAATTTTGAAAAAAAAATACATAAAAAAGGCCCAAGACGTAAGACTACAATAATAAATGCGGTTCATCTGGCAGCGCTCGTATTGCTTGGTTTCTTTGTCCCGTTTCTTCCATTGTGCTGTAATCACTCTTGAAGTGAAATACCTAGTAGCTCGTACCCACACTTTGCTTCGGTGATGCTGTGCCTGATCATCATAAGTGCTCTGGGCCCAAAAATCTTCGGGCGCCCGTTTACAGCAGCGCTTTCATTGTGCACTGGAACGATGCGAGATTCTGAATGAGTGGTACAGTGTGGAAGAGTCGAATGCACAGCGCGAGCCAAATTATCTGAAACTTCGAATACTGGTAATTCTAAATCGAATCAGATTATTCATATAAGTATATTTCTATACGAATTCGAAGCTCCAATATTCACAAATCCTTATTTGATATAATGTAATGAAGAACATGCTTTGAAGGTATGACCAGTCTTTCTCAACCACGAAGCAGGATGATGATGCTTATTGCTACAAAGGCCTTCAATAGTAACATATGCACGCTCATAGAAGTGTAAAGGGTAAATCTGAGAGTGCGAAACCACAAGTGGTTTGTTATGCTCGCATTTTGCGGCCTTGTTTCATATTAAGTCTCTTTATACGTTTGAATGTGCACGAAAGTTGGTGTGCTATTTAAGACTTATTCCAGCTTATTTCTGTAATGAAGCAGTGCATTAAGGTGGAATAATTGAGACTAATTGCACCTCTATGTTACGCTTGAGTGTGGAAGGCTGCCTGTATTTGTGCAAATCTCAGTTTGTTTGATCTTGTTGATCTACCAGAAAATTCTTATGAAGAAACTGACTATTCCGAGACTCGTTGAGGTGCTGACATGAACAGAATGCTGCATCATTTTACACTATCTTGAATGCTTCATACTAAAAAGCGTTTGCAACCCAGTGTTGTTTTTTAAGTACAAAAATGCTCTTCATGACACTGGCGGCAATGAATATGCTTATTTGGCAGTTCTCAAAGATACGTGAGTGATGGGCGAAACTTGATTTATCATCTGATCAGTGAAGTGATTCCCTCTCTAAAGAATTACCACGCACACTCCCAAGAGCATTATTGAGCGGTGTACAAACAACGCACACATGGTCAAGTCTCCACTACGCTCGCTGACAGAATTCCCTGGGAAGGTGTTATATGAAATTGTTGTAATCTTTTGTGCGTTAGCCTTTGTTCTGATTACCTGATGTATGACTGATGTAGTCGCATATCCACTGCATAATAATTTGATTGACCGTAAAGATGCCAGGCATTCATGCTTAAATACACATCAGTTATTTACTTCCTTCTTATACTTCACTCAATTCCCGCTATGTCCATGCATAAGCATGACGACAGAACGCTAACGGTGATGGTGCGACTATGACGACGAGCAGTTGCTTGCCCGCAATGTCAACTATTGTAACTGAAAGATTAATATGAATCGTGAATTTCCTCTTGCTCATCATCTACTCTAGCAAAGAAATGAGTATATCCAAGCTAAAGTAGAACGCATGTCTCCATTGGAATTAGGGGCCACTGCTGTTGAGGTACGTCCCGCAGCCAACGTGCACCCAGCCGATGCAAGAAATTGGTGGCTGCACTAGTAAACGATGCTACTCTAGCAAAGAAATGAGTATATCCAAGCTAAAGTAGAACGCATGTCTCCATTGGAATTAGGAGCCACTGCTGTTGAGGCACGTCCCGCAGCCAACGTGCACCCAGCCGATGCAAGAAATTGGTGGCTGCACTAGTAAACGATGCAGTTGTCATCGTCCTGTGAGGGCACTCGCATCAAGGCACCCTACGAATTTCAAGGTGGTGTCACCACCTGCGTTTTCTTTTTAGACATTTTCTCACTTGGAAAGCGTATTCTTGTGGCAAGCATGGTGATTTTGGAATTATGAAAGCCTAATTTATTAAAATGAGAAAACTCATTTTTATTTTTAGTCTTCTTTTACTTGTCAGGATCAATGTATATACTCCGAAAAAATTACCATATCTGCCTTACACTGGGTGTCCCAGCTAACTTGTGTGAAAAGTAAAAAAATTATATTAGAGGCAGGTGAGTGAACTCAGTTGCATGTTGCTGACAGCCACTTAGCACACTACACACAATTTAAATACGAAGCAGCTCTTTGACTAGCCTGTGTAACGCTGTCCATCCGTGTCTCCGTGCCAACGCGTCACACCGCATTCCCCCTGCCGCAGTTGTCGGAATGATGCCAAGTAGGTCAAGTCGCAGCTGCACGTTGACGTCACTCTCTCTCTCACCTGCAGCAGCTGCCGGCTCCTCCAAAAATACCTGGCTGGTGTTGCTCCTTCACCCGCTCTCAACACACTTCTCTCTCGCTTCACTCTCTCCATCGGCCACAACGCTCAGAGTGGAAACACTCCACAGCTTTAGTTGCACGTACGCGGCAGCCGTACGGACACAGCCTGCCAATCATTCACAATGGGAGGCTGTGTCCGTATGGTAGATGCGGACGCACAACTAACTCTGTCTACTCTTTCGGCTCGTTTATGTGCGATGAAACTTGCACGAAACCCAACCCGCCTCCCGTGTCATTGCATTTCAAAGAAATGTTAACTCGAGTAAAGGCTACACAGAGTTTCGCTTTAAACCGTTCTTCCAGCACCCGCATCGACGCCCGTTTCATGCGGGTCAACGGCGTGCGCAGCGCTGCTGCAGCTTCACATCCTATCACGGTTCCCTTCGGGGAGATGGTTCATAATTTTGTTTTGTAGTTAATCAATTTGTTAATAAGGATTATTTAACTAATTTGCTGATATTGATATTAAAGCAAGAAGTGGGATTTGCAAACTTCAAGAGGTTCTTCGGAAACCTTCACTGCATTATTTGTGATAAAAAAAGTCTTGCGTGTACCATTTTTTTTAAGTTGCATAGAAAGCCAGCGGAATAAAAAAAAAATGTGACTAGTGCATTCGCACGCCATAATCGTGCTACTCTCAGTCGTGGTTTAAACAAACAAAATGACCTGCAGCTGCCTCTCACCGGCTCTGTCGCAGCGGTAAGCCTATAAGTTGATGGTGGTTCCTTGGCCGGTTTGTGCGCCTGGTGATGAAAGCTGTAGTGAGTGCAGGCAAAAAAAACACCGCCACCTGATCAGCTTACCGATGCAACGAACACTGATACCTTCAGGTAGTATGCGAGAGACTAATGCTCAGCGGCCAGCTTGTAATGAGATCACACGCTACGTAAAGCCAACTGGCAGAAAAAAATGCTTTCCACACTCGCCGTCAAGTGGCAACGCTGACTGACACTCTCGTGCTCTAATGCACACATATACCCCATCGAGTGGATGGAGGGATAGCCATCGTGGTAGCTCAGTTGGTAGAGCATCGGACGCGTTATTCGAAGGCAGCAGGTTCGGTCCCTGTTCACCACAAGCTATCTTTTCGTCCACTTTTCTTCACATTTAGGTGCATTACAATTACTTTCAATGACATCTTGTATACTTTCCTTGGCATCACTGTCCATTAGTTCTCACTTACAAAGCAATGAGGTATTTGGATGCCCTCTTTTGTTTTATTATGCAATTATTAACAATGTTTTCTACCATTAACTGCCATAGATACCTACACCTAGTGGCAGTTATTTTTTATGCTGCCCGCGCGAAGTGCTGTGCCGTTCGGGCTTTTAAGTATTTTAAATAAATAACAATGGGTAAATTAATCTAGCTCAGTTCTTATAGTGATGTATTCATGTGCTTGCAGGGCAAGTACAACCTTTCCTCGGACATCACCACTGTTTACTGCTTTGAAGATGGGTTCGTGGTCAACGATTTCCCCATCCTGGAAGTGCTCATGCCGGATGCGCAAGGCAATATTTTCACACTGAAGATCCCGCCATCTGTAAGTTGGTTTCGAATTTTCATCACTGTTGTAACTCAGTTGTAATGTATGTTCTAATGCAGTTCTAATGTTCTTCACTGCAAAATCCCCCTTTTTTATTTTTGCTGGTTAAAAGGTACCGTGCCACTGATGCCACTGATCTTTTCATGATGACGGTGGCAGTGCTGCTGGCTTTGACAAAGGCTGCTGGCAGTACAATGACTGCGTTTGGAGTTACACATTGAAGTGTCTCGTTATAGAAAACGAGCAATGTTTCAACGACTGATTTTCTTCAAGACACAGTTGATTTTCTCCATGATGATACAGTTGACTTAATAAGCTTTAACGCAATATTGTTCATGATGTGGTGAAGAAGGCTTATATTGAAAATGAGTAATGGTGTTCTGGTGAAGCTTACTACAGTGGGCCCAGACATCTTAAAAGGGTAGAAACTTGAACCTGTTGGCATGAATTCATCGTAAAGAACAGCACGGGTATACGAGAGAAGAAAGACAACAGAGCAGAGGGCTGGCTAGCAACATGATCGCTTATCTCGTGTGAACAAATATATACGCCTTAGAAACATATCTCGAAGCAACGTGCTCTGAGACATGTTCTATGCAAGGCGGAAGCTATATATGAGATACCGACGTCTTTCAGTGGCCACTACATTGGTCAAACGAGTTGCTGCACGAACGACCGGCTTTTAGTTAGAGAACAAGAACAATCTGAAGGACAAAACAAGAAGCAATCTGACAATTTACTGTGCAGATTGTGGTTGCACTCCAAATTTTAAACAGACCCGCATCTTACAAAGATATCGCGATTACAGTGCTCGGGAGATCTATGAAGCGTTGAAGATGCATTCCATTGGGCCATCATGTGTAAGCGCCACTGACATTGACAAAGGCATTAATTATCTTCGTGATCGAACTTTGCAGTTTCATCGACTAGTTGAAATGCATGTGCAGTGCTTCCCTCTCCTTCATTTGCCTTTTTTCTCTTTTCTAAGGCATATATACTTGTTCACATGAAATAAACGCTCATGCTGTTTGTTAGCGCTTTCTCCTGGACATAGCTGTACATCGCCTAGTTTTGCAGCAGCCCAGATTTTGCGACGAGTTGGTTGTTTCCCGACAGAATCCCCTTATAAATTCCGTATTTACTGGCATAATAAACGCACTCGCATAATAAACGCACCCCCAACTCCAGTCGTCAAAATTTGGAATTCTTTCATCTCCGCATAATAATGCACCCCCTGAATTCATCCGCTGCAGTCCCGCTAACCGACACATGGCGCCTTCTTGCCCGTTCGATCTCTTCCGTTTTCTATTTATTAATTATGTCAACCCTCCTCGGCCAACACAACTCGTTCCCTCGTCCCGTTCCCCCCCCCCCCCCCTTTGCCCGCTGCTGCACGCCGTATTCTTTTTTTTCCCATCTGAAAGTAGCACGTCCCCAGTCTTCTTTAATTGTCTATGTGCCACAGGGGGTTCATGAACGGTGCGAGTTTAGAGACATCACAGATGATAAGCATACAGCAAGCGAAGGTCACGAAACTGCTTGCGTGAACCAACAGTTGCTTCCTGCAAATATGAAACATTAAGGACCAGCCACGTGCCTGCAAATTTAAAGCGACCAGGACAATAGAGAGTTTTCAAACTTTTGGGGCCCCAAAGAAATAGCGTCAAGGCCACTGCGCATATGCAAGACTCAAACTGCGTTTGGGTTTCGGGTTGGGGACGGTATTTCTCGAATTCAGCGGGAACCCCGAAGCCTGCCCCAAAAGTTTTGGGTCAGACAAATGTGACGGCACCCACTTAAGTGCGGCTCTCGGCCAAGACAAAAGTGACATAGAATAGGGGGAGTGTCCAAATCATTGCAGACCCTATTCGAAAACTTATCGCTTCAGCGTGACCCAAAACGTCCATAAGCAAAGGGCTTTGGGGCCCCTATTCGAAAACTCTCTAATATTTGCTGTTGCCATGGCAGTTGCAAAGGGCCATTCGTCGTCTTTGTGTCACAGGTTTATGGAAAACCAGAAAAAAAAAAAAAACTAAGTATCGCTTGTCGCCTGGCCCTGCCGTGGTGGTCTCGCTAGCACACCTGGGATAATGTGTGTACAAATAGAACAAAGTGGATGGGTGAGCAGTCAGCTCTGTAGTTTGATTGATAAAGCATTGGATGTGAAACTCGTAAGTTTTAGGTTTGTTTTTTGCCATCAGCAAGTTGTTTGCTTTACACTTCAATTCATTTTCACTTATGTAATAATTACTACGCTGACCAGCAGGTCGCGGGATCGAATCCCGGCTGTGGCGGCTGCATTGGCGATGGAGGCAGAAATGCAGTAGGCCTGTGTGCTCAGGTTCGGGTGCACGTTAAAGAACCCCAGGTGGTCAAAATTTCCGGAGCCCTCCACTACAGTGTCTCACATATCAGCTTGTCGCCTAGAAAAGATACAATACACCTTTTTTTACACTACGGCATTTTTTGCGCATACCGAAAAAGTTTTCATAAAATTTGCCCCTCATAATAAACGCATGCCCAAGTTTGCTTTGATTTTTTGAGGAAAAAGTGCATTCATTATGTGAGTGAGTAGCTATGGTAATTTATTATAAATCCTAATTATATGTTAATATTTTGCGCAGACCTAGCATTTCACAACAACAAAAAAACTTCTTTTTTTTTTACTAGACTCCAACGTCTACCAAATATTAAAAAAAGGGGGGGGAAGTGTTACATAGATTTACGTTGCCAATGTTTCTAAATTACAACTCTTCTAGACTTTTTTTTTCCTCGACACATTGTTGTTATAAGTTTTTCCTGTTGTTTTCTGACTTTTCTTGCATTGGAAAATGTAATATCAAATGCATATATATGTACCCACTCCTGCCTACGACTTCGCTTAGAAGTTGGCAGTATTGACTAAATAAATGAATAAATAAATATTTGTGCATGCAAAAGAAACTTGTGCACCCTTAGATTGGCGATCGGTAAAGAAGAAAGAGTGAAGTGAGTATCAGATGACAAGCCTAGTGCGCCATGCTTAGTTGTGCAGAACCACCAGAGCATCAAATATACACAGCTTATGCATTGCTCGAAAAATGCTCGTTTTCGTTGTGTTAAATGAACAGGCCGCTTGCCTGCAGACAGCTGGTCAGACATTAACTACCCGTGCTCTTATTTTTTCATATATATGACAGCATTGCCTGGTCCTCTCTAAGTCGTATAATCTGAGTTACAAAGTCCGTGAGGATGTTCACTATTGGAATTAGGACCGTCACACTACTTCATCCCAAAAAACTATGGTATTCCCAAAGTGGCATCTCTTTACACCCACACTGACTGAGGTCCATGTCGTTGCAATTCCACGAACTGGCAGATGTCATGCCCACAAAGTGTTCTCTTCATCGCTATCATCATGCAGGTCTACTTTCAAGAGGTCACATTAAAGCGTGGTGACCACGGTTGCTACAAGCTTGCAGTGGCCGATTCACCATCAGGTAAGTACTTTGGTGGTCCCAGTGCTTCGGCTGCTATGTCTCAGCTGCACCTCTAATGGTGCCGGTGCTCCACCATGAGCAATAATTACCGGTGTGTCTTTCTTTTCAGGCATTATGATCGGTTTTGCCATCATCCGAGGGCTCACCACCGTGTTCGATTTGGGCAACAAGCGTGTCGGATTCGCTGCCCTTCATTGCAATGCAAATGACGTAATAGTTGAGTATGCAGAGAAGGAACATGCTGGTAATTTCTTTTGCTGTTTGCGTTTTTACACAACTGGCTTTTGTCAATGTGGGAGCTTGCCAAATACGGCAAAGCAATTTTGTATTAAAAAGAAAAAGAATACCGTAATTCTTTCCTCCGCTTGGTGGGATTCTGCTGATTTCCCACAGTCTATCATTTTTTTAGGAATATGGTTCACTGCAGAGATTGTCTCTGCACATACCACAGAAAAGGGTAAACATTGAAGCTGAAGTGTGTCAATTAGTTATTCATAAACAATTATTGGTCTATTCTAACCTGAAAACTCAACAAAATACCACGTGTGGAAGCTGCTTTGAAATTTTGTGATTGTTTAAAAAAGAATCTTACAAAACAGATTTTGTGTTTTATTATTGTCACTAATCAGTGCAGAAAGTTGGGCAAATTTGTAAATGTTTATTGGTATAGTACTTGAACTGCACGGTGATACGATACACGAAGAGAGGCTGCGCTTGTTTGTCTAAGCTTCTTTAAGTATCGTCTCACCACACAGTTTGAATATATATTGCCACTAATAACAAATGCTGTTCTACCAAATCATGTGCGAAAGTGAGTACATAAAGAAGTTGAGGCTATGTTCGTATTGTATTTAGTGTTGTCCTTGTGTGATATCTTTTGCTATCAAATCACGTGCTCTTATCATTTTCAACAAAAACATCAATTTGGTGTCGGACATGTAGTAGATGTATTGAAAAGGTATGCGTAGGATCTGGAAAGCAGTGTCTAAGCAATCCTCAGGCCCTCTGTCACACTTCTACAGTGGTACAGAAATTAAGTACTACCACCATGCTTCGCAATAAGTCTGAAGCAAAGCATATGATTTGAGGCATTGGTACAATTTGTGACATAGATTATGAACTGGAAGTGAGCAAGGTGATATTTACTGAGCACAAATGTTCTTGGAGAGAACAGCAGTCAGACAGTTAAACTTACTTGCATAGCTGCGTCCAACCCTATCAGATCTGGGTAGGACCATGTCATTCTAGCAGCAAGACGACCTAGTTAGACCATAAGTTTTCTCAAACAGGTGTCCCGCTGTTTTGGCAGCAGCAAGTCTCTTGTAACAATACTGATTGTTGGCCTAGTTGGTACTTGCTTACTGACATGATTTGGCCACAAATAATACACACACAAAGTAAAGAAACACTCAACGCTTGTGCTTGTCGTTGAGTGTTTCTTTACTTTGTATGTGTATTATTTGTGGCCAAATCATGTCAGTAAGCAAATCTCTTGCTGCTTATAACCGTCCTGGTGAGGTGTACCTTGTTGGCAAGCGGTTTCTTTCTGTCAAAACAATACTTTATAATTATATTTGATAGATAAACAAGGATATTTGATAGATAAACAAGGAAGTTGAAAACAGAATTGGTAAACCTTGCCGGCAAGACACTTTTAAAAGCTAACTAAAAGATAAGGAAAACTTTCCAGATGTCATTCAACAAAGATGATACGAAGTCCTAAAGACCAGCGGTGGGAAGAGTTGAGAGTTGTTTATTTCTTGCGCTAGAGACATGCGAGACTCGCTAGTGCACTTCTCCACCTTTCTTGTTTGACCTAAGGCATAGTACATTGCTTAAACCTAGGATCAAGAGCTAGTCCAGGTGTTAACATAAGGGTCGGCTGCATCATCGGTTCTAGCTTTAGCTTTTTACACGTTCTAAGAATTCATTCTGCATACCTTGTTTTCAGTATTGCTACTAAAGCAACAGCAGGGTGGCAGACATTTTGATTAGAGAAAGTTAGGCAAGTGGGAAGCCTTCTTATGGAATTTCGACACTGTTCTCAGGCCATTTTCACTGAGTATTTGTACAACAGTACCTACAGTAGTGAGTGTTTTCGTCCGAAATCAACTTGAATTGTTGCATTTTTTTAGTTGCACTGAAATGGTGTGTTATAATGGATAAATGTTGAATATATGTATGTACACTGATTGCTGTTTTACTGCTTGCAAGAGAGGGCCTTTGGGCATTCAAGCTGTCTAGCGCAGCTTTTCACTGGAAGAACACTCAATAATTTTGTTGCACTAAGGTGAAAACATTTCTCTTTCTGAATTTGACTTCGCTCTCTCGAGCAGAAGCCTTTTTCAGCTAGTCATCATGTTTATTTTACTCTAGCAACATGTCAGCTATCAGCTGACATAATGACAACATTACCTTCACTAAACCTTTGTCATGTAACTAAGTTAATTCGTGTTTCATATTGTTTGTTTATTATGAACCAGTGGTCATCTCTTCCAGGTCACTCGTGCGTCTGGGAGCTCCAAGCCATGGGCTCGAAGACGTGGACCGTTTTCATTTACATCATCATCTTCATTTGTCTCATGTGTGCCTTGCCAGTCGTCATCGTGGGACTGTTCTGGCTCAAACGTAGGGTTCGTCTCTGCAGATCCAGGCAATCATCCGACGGTGTCGGACTCATCAACATTTAGCCGCAATACATTCAGTACATTTCCGTTTAGCTTTTTCTCTTTTTTTTTTTATGAGCGCTTAATCTTGTCCGGCCAGTGCCAAGCTTTTATTGTTTGCGAATTGCGCTTTTACATCTTTTTACTCTTTCTACACCATGATTTGTTGTAGCTGCTTTTAACCTTAATTTTTACCCGAATGTATTTTTCGAGCATTTACACTGTAACTAAGAATTCATTTACACTGCAATAAAGCTGATCTGTTACATACTGTGTTGTGCATTTTGTGCGCTATATGTACAGCACGAACCCTCTAGTATAGTATATTTCGTGGAATGGCAAAAAAAATATAAATTGCCAGGAAATATAAACTTTCAGGTATAGCTAACAATGACCAATTTGTGGTGATGTGTACGATTGCACAGTAACATGAGGCTTTCAAGATCCTATTTAGTAAATAGGATTTTATGAACATGGCAGAGATGCTCATTAGTACCTCTGGAAGTTGAGATAGATTGTTCGCTTGTGAAGTCCGGTCTGCCAAGCCTTAGGCATGGATGCTGGGACTTTAGTTGCTGTGTGAATGGGGTACTTTCTCAATTAATATTATCCTGTGCACCAAAATCTCCATGTAGCTTGGCTGAATTCCCAGAACATGTGCTATCATGCGGCCTGCAGAGCTGACAAGATAGGGGTGGCCTGATCTGCACTCGATTTCGTTTGTGATGGCATCACCACGGCAGCAGGGGGTCTTTCCAGAGGGTCAATGATGGATCTCCCCGCCTGCCCTGAAATTGTGATGGAGGGGGTGTTTTCCGGAAAATAAGTCATGAGAATAAGTGTTTTTCTAAAACAGTCAACGTCTTCAGAGTGCCTGCCCCCCACCCTTCCCTGCCCGAAAAACATTTCTGCCAACGGGTCTGATACATGGAGACAATAAAAGCTTCATTGAATAAAACAATTTAATTATTTCACTCCAGTGGAGTTGCTGCAGAGTGAGTAGCAGTGGTGAATGAAACATAAATGAACTTGCTAAGCAAAAAACAGTGGGCATAACATTCAAGGTAAAGATTAAGGAGCATAAAATGTGTAGATGAATAAAGAATCCATGAATGGGGAACACTGGTATGAGGCTCCACTGGTTTGTAGGGCTTGGTCCAGAAGGGCCAGCCGGATCTCAAGTCTCTCGTCTATTGCCCATGCTTCTTATAAATAACTTGCATGTGATGTCACAGACAGGTTTTCGGCGCTGGGAATCTAAAGATGGCTGGCACCATGACCTTTTATCGCATTTGAGAGTGCCAGTGCAAGGGATGACAGAAAGTCGTTCATTCCTCGTGTTCTTTTAGGCTTTCCCCGCTTCCTTCTGTTCGCTAGCCTCGCCAAGGGGAAACGCAAAGAATTGGAAGGGTTCCAGGTATTAATCAGATGTCACCATTTCTTGCACCGTGCAGTCGAGCAAGAGTTCACAAAACATCTCAACAAGCTGGTACCTGAAGATGGCGACCATAGTGACGTCAATGCAAGTTATGCATACCTATAGTGCTTACTTACAAGAGGTTTGTGCGTGATTAGGTGGTTGTTTAAACACCATCATGTAGAGCATACACGAATTAAGAGAATTCACTGCGTCACTACCGCTTACCCTGGTCTTGGGTGTATATTGAGTATATGCTGATGTCTATTGGCACTGTATTTTTTCTTAACTCCTGCCCTCCAACTCGTGACGTCGGTGTGCAGTGTGTGCTCATTGTTGCAGGCTTGTGCGCACCTGCCTTTCAGGAGGAGATGCCACAGACTTCCGAAGTTGCAGACTGTGGCTATTCCTTTATCTTGCTTCCCACAATTGGAGCCAGAGCTTGACACTACCCTCACCTTGCCCTCACTCTTCTCTTAATTTCGTTTTGCTGTGAAGCAGAGAAAGTTGTTCCCCATGCATTTCTGAGGAAATCCAATTTTTTTTTGCACTACTGCTGCGTGTCTGCAGACCAGCAAGAAGGAAGATTTCTTCAGAAAGATGGGTACACTGGCTCTTATTCAAATTTTGAGTTGTTCCTGCTACCCACATATGCATATGTATGCTGCAGATGCAGTATTACTTATCGCCACGTTGTCAGCAAAACAGTGCAATGCCCAAACTTGGGCCGGAGTGACGGAGCAGTCCCGTAACCCTGTGTTCCACGTTAGCCCACCCTGTAAAGGGCCCCCATCTAGGTCAAGTAGAATGCCGCTTGTACGTTCCTCACTTACGTATTTTTCTACATATAGTGGCATCTCTGGAATCTGGTCCCAGCGTAGCATCCACAGACACCCATGTATTCAATCCCCTTTTCAAACGTCGTTCCTGCAACATTCCTGCCCAATCACATTGTCAAATGTCGCTCTACTGAATGTGCCAAGGAGGTGCATCAATCAGTTTGATGGCGTGGACTGCTGAAAGACCGTCACAGTGCTCAAAAGGGTGGTCCAGGCCGAAAGGCCAGACTTCCATCAAAGACTTTTTGAAGCTATAAACTGATAACTAAGCTCTCTGAGGCAAAGCTGTGTTCGATGTGCATGTGTTATTATTTAGCAGCACTTCAAGACTGTAAAGCAAGCCTACCTATTCCACATTGCTTAATTTTAATCTTGCTTGAACCTCTGATCCCATGCACAAGACCGCATTGCCGAAAGTCAGACCAAGAATCATGACACCCTTTTCCAAATTCCTGTCACAGTATCTTACTTATTGCAATTCCACAGTGCCCTATTTTTTATCACCGTTGCATTCCTGTTTCCTTTGGTTGTTACGTATATTTCGTGTTAGGTACTCGGTCCCATTGTTTATCCATATGCCCAGATATTTGTATTTCCCCGCATTATTTCTAATGTGACCTCCTGTATCATAAGCTCAAACGCTTTGCTACGACGTCACGGTGGTGGCACCTGCCCGTTGCTTTGCGTTCTACATCTTATCACCTCCGAGACTGGCGCGCATCTTTCTCTGCGGGCTGCACGCCTTCGTTTTCGAAGATAACTGCCAGATGGCACTTGTGTCTAACGTGCCTACATGCGCTCGTTCGCCTCCGCCACACGCTCGAGGCACTCTAACACAGCGCCTGCAGAATACCATTCACCGATTTTCTTGCGCAGAACATCAAATAAACGTTTTGTTCACTCTCTCCATATGCAAGACTATCGTCTTTTGACGACATTTACAATGTAACATGTAGATTCGGGCCAATTTTTTTTCCCCTTTAAATAGTGAGGTTGAGGGCTGGTACTTTGCAGTGAAGGGTTTAATTTTCACTCGTGCCTTGACTTAGGCCACCAATCCAATAACCTTCTTCTAGTTAATTCTACCCGCTTAAGGTCTATTTTGCCCTCCCTGTCCCTAAACCCCAGTTCTCTAAAAAACTCTGCGCCATCATCCTGAACTATAGGGTGAAGCCCTTTACAGATAATTATCAAGTGTTCGGCAGTTTCCTCCTCCTCTCCACACGCACTGCATACCGTGTCCACCCCTTCGTATTTGGCCCGATATGTCTTGGTTTGCAATACTCCCGTCGTGGCCTCAAACAGTAAACAACTACCCCGAGTATTATCATAGATTCTTTCCTTGGCAATATCCTGCTTAAAAGTTCGATAGATATCTAGCGCGGACATCATTCATGCCAATTCTCCACATATCGGTCTCAGCTTCCTTCATATTCTTCTTAACCGATAATTCTTTTTGGTTTGGCCCCCTGCTGTTTTCTAAGTATTTACCAGTCAATTTTCTCGTTCGCTTCCTCCATTTTGTATTGACATTCTTCATGTACAAGCAACTGAATACCTTTCTAGCCCAATGCTCCTCCCCCATTTCTCTCAATCGCCTCTCAGATTTTATTTTGCTGCTAGCTTCCCTGCCCTCAAATGATGTCCATCCCATATCCCCTTGTACTCCCTGATTGGTGTATTCCCGTGAGCTCCTAAGGCAAGCCTACCTATTCCACGTTGCTTAATTTATAATCTTGCTTGAACTTCTGATCTCGTACACAAGACCGCATTGCCGAACGTCAGACCAGAAACCATGACACCTTTCCATATTCCTCTCACAACATCATACCTATTGTTACGCATGCCTGGGAAGAAAACGAAGATGGCTGAACATGCTGGCTGCCCCAAGCTGGAGGAAGAAAGAAGAGGACGACACTGCGATCATCAACCTGTTGGCCGCTCCGGCGCTTCTCTTCGCGACCAAAATAAACGGCCCCCTTCAGCCGTATACGTCCTAGTCCGCCTTGTGCGTAACAGATTGGTGGAAGCGTGCTGGGTAAGACAAGCCCAACGACAGAAGCTTCACTACCTGGACTACGCCGCAGCCACCGCCTTGCCGGACTCCCGCCTGCGCCGATCGTAATGGCCCAAGATCAGCCATCTAACGCTTCAAGGCCAACTCCAATGGGTTCCGTGCCCTACTACCGAGTCCCGCCAACCTTTGGAGGAAAATCGGGAGAGGATGTCGACGCGTGGCTTGTCCAGTACAAGCGAGTCAGCAAGTCCAACGGCTGGGATGCCGCCGCTCAGCTCAGCAATGCGGTCTTTTGCCTTACGGATACTGCGCTCGTGTGGTACGAAAACCACGAGGACACACTGACGACGTGGGACGTTTTTGTTGTAGAGCTGAAAGCGTGTTTCGGCGACTCGAGCGTCAAAAGGAAGTGGGCAGAGCAGACATTGTCTCAACGCGCGCAGCTTCCACAGGTGATATATGTACCACGTATATAGAGGATGTGCTGAAGCTCTGCAAGGTGGTCAATGATCACATGTCAGAAGACGACAAAGTAGGGCATTTGCTGAAAGGCATAGCCGAAGATGTCTATAATTTTCTCATCGGAAAAGAGCACCTGAGCTCGGTGTCCGACGTGATTCGGCATTGCCGAACTTTCGAACAGCTGAAAATGCGCAGGATTGCTCCAAAGTTCGGCCGGCTCACAAATGTTACAAAGGTTGCCAGCATCGACACGAGCACCTGCCCAGACCTGTCCTCGACGATTCGAGAGATTGTTCGCAAAGAACTTTTTCGCTATAGAGAACAGACGCATTCAGCAGTTGATCACCATTCTGTAAACGACCAACATTCGGTATATGTGTCACGTGAGGCTGTGACTGCGCCGCCGCCTTCTACGACCCCTTGGCAATCGATGGTTAGTGCAGCAGCTGTTGAGTACAGCGCACCCCCACAGCCAAGGAGAGCACCACGCTTGCCAGCTCCTCGCCATGACCGACGCCTCCAGCGTCTGCCTTCTT